ATGAACTTTTTTTAGCAAAACATTTTCCTGGCCAGAATAATTTGGCATTGGGTATAGAATATTTTTATGATTGATAACAAATGAAAAATTTGCTAAATTCATCATTGGTTTGCAGAGCGATAATTTCATTTCTCTAAATTTTTTCTAAGTAAATTCTTAATACCAAACAACAGTAATAACTTCTACATATTTAGAATTTTGTTTTTGTTTTTACAATTTTATAACATTTTACTTCGAATTCGTTTACTATTAACTGCCATATTTCATTACTGCAAGTGCTGTTCTTGTTTCAGATAGTATGTATTTCCTATATGAGAATTTGATTAATTTTTTGCGCAGTATTTTTCAAAACTTTTTGTTACGTTTGCTTACACAAATTAAATGAAATTAAATTTTAGATTAAGTAAAACACATCGTATCGTATTTTATTTTAAATAACTTTTACATTAGCGTAGTATACAAAATCACATCTTAGTAAAAGTATTTCTATTCAAAAAAAAAACAATTCCTAATTTCCATTGCCATTAAATTAATTGCAACATTTTAATAATTACCATAGATACCTTCGTATAAAATATATGATCATCGTATAAATGGCGTAGCACATAAAATTACGTCGTTAGTTTTGATATATTAAGATTTTTGTCTTGAGAACGACTTCATTTTAACGTGCAAAATTTTTTTTATTTCCGAGGGTAATTTCTATTGGTAGCGAAACTTATGCAAATGAGAAAAGAAATTTAATTTCCGGTTTACTATTGTTTACTTTCGGCAATATTTTTTTTTCCTTAATAAATTATTTTCGGGAAAAGTTCTATTTAAAAAACAGTGCGGAAATGTTAATAATCAATCCAATTTACTTCAAAAAAATGTCTCATATATCTGTTTAATTCTTATTTGACTTTTAAATATTCAACTTGCAGTACAAATGCAATTATGCTGGCACAGTTGTGATTTAAGCACGATTGACTATCTCAATCCATGATGATTTATTTATTCAGATTTGTAGTTAAAAAGTAAATGATGAAAATCTGATCTGGGCGAACTTTAACAGCACTTTTTGAATCAGAAGATTTAAATAGTGGTTAATTGTTCGCATTTTTTGCTAGAAGTAGAAAAAGACACTAGAAAAAAAAAAATCAGCCATACCGTTATTGATGAAATATGTATTAAGGTAAAATTACCGTAGAAACAAACGAAGATGACTTCTTCTTAGGGAGGAGCGGGTATCGGAAGAATTTGTCTTCCCTTTACTGTCGTTGTGGACAAAAGAGGTCGCACTTATTAAGAATTATTCGTCCTCTTATTATTTCACCATAAATAAATGACACTGAAAGACTTAAAACTATTTCAGCTATCAATGTTACTTGCTCTGTTCCCATGATATATGTACCTGTCGTAAATTTCCTTGAAACTTTAGCAAATTCAGAACAAAAATTGTGCTTCTGTTCAATTCAAGGACGCTTACAAAAATTTTATTTTATTTTTTGTCCCACAGAAGAATGATTCATCATTTATGTATATCTTGGGATCCAATGGAAGAATCACTGATAATTCATCCAGACTTACCTTCTTGCAGTTTACTTCATTTAACCCGGAACTCAAACTTGAATGAATTAAAAATTGAAAAATTAAAAAGCGATTAAAAATCATGATAGTTTGAAAATAAAAAGGTACAACAATTGAAGTTCTTACAAAAAGCGGTTGCACTTATCGGGGCAATTAAGAAAACCGAAAAATGTTTGACTTTATCCGTCCGGAATACTCGTTATAAGTGTAATCCATACAAGATTTAATCTGACTGCTTCAGTCACATTGCAGCAGCAGTAAGTGCTGTTTTATTTGCTGCGGCAAACGCAGTGAGCATGTTTAGTTCATAAATGATATTATAATGATCAATAAATAAATAATTTTTACTCATTGAGCTGAATTTGTCGCTGAAAACAATGTTAAAGTCATTTGCAAACTTTTCTAATTTCTCTTTTTTTTTTTCATAAAGCAAAGTTCAAAAGAAATTTCTAGACTGCAAGAAAATCTTCATCCTTTCTTCATTTGCATGCAAATGATGCCCTGATTCACTATAGCATACCTTATTAGCTTTTGCGCTTTTTACGCGTGTTTTTTTTGGGAAGTAAAAAGTGCATGGGAAGTTCTCTGGTATGAAATATTTTCCAGAAAAGTTTTGCGATTTATCTTGCAGGCCTGTTTTTTGAATAAGTAATAGTGCCACAACATGCCACTTTTTTAAAAGATTAAAAACGCTAATGGATCAGACTCTCCTCTGCTGAAATATTCATAATATATTTTGGTGGTAATAACGGCGCCTTTCTTTTCTTTCACCACCTTAAAATATATTTTAGTGTTCATTTCTTCACATTTTTTTTTAATGACCTAAAATAGTTCTGAGAAAATTTGAAGGAAAACATTTGAGCTTTGTGATGTTTTTTTAATCCTCACGATGAAGTACTTTCACAAAAGAGCACTTACCTGAAATAGTGAAAGGAAGTTGAAATTTTGCATGGCATAATATTTTACCATATACTTTCTCCAACTTCTTAATTCACCTAAAATTAATTTGAAACTAAATTAATTTAGCCTTATTATAAAAAATAAGAATGTTGTTAACACCCAAAAATTTTAGAACGAATCATTCTAAGTCTTTTCTTCCTATTTTCATTTCCTTCTCACACTTTTCTTACCTGTCATTTCCTGCTGTGTACGATAAAAAAATGTCCTTTTTTGTATGACTAATTAAATGCAGCATGAGATGCATGTCTAGAATATATGTTTGCAAAAATAGACAATATGTATACATATGCATGCATCTATGCATGCATGCGTGCTTATTTATACCCCAAAACCATTCCTAGTCAATATCGTTCGTTGTTTTCTGAATGCTTCCGAACGGAAAATGTGCATATTGCTTGTTATATGGAAGGGTTGTCAGATTGCAAATGCCAGATAGACTGACTTTATGGCATATTGATGAAGTTATCATTATCCTAACATTATTCTGTATTATGCACCTCGTCTATACATCTTAATTGATTGCTATCAACAAAAACTGAAAATACGTCCAGGAATAACAATTAAAATTTCTAATGGGTCACTTATACCGGAAGTAATCACTTAAATTTATTATTCTGAATCAAATATACCGTAAATGTTTATGCTCGAAAAAAAAAAAAAAAACTCTTTCAACAGACACATGGAAGTATTCAAGTCGTACGGTGCTTGAATAAATGAAATAATCAAATATGTTTCAAACACTCGAATTCGCCAATTGTTTCTTAATATATGGACATAAATCACCAATTCCACTCGGAAAGGTTTTCTAGGTAGGCTGAAAAAATTCCTATAGTTAAATTCGTGTAAACAAATCAACCATACTTAACTTTTAAGAAAGGTTTACTTTTTGCTTACTTAATAATTTGTTCTTTTTTTTTATTATGCGAGTCTTATTTTTCTGATTAATTTGACTGTCAGCTTTTTATTATTTGATTTTTTTTATTACCAAATTTCATATTTTGCTTAAGTGAAAAACTTCGAATTTTTGTTAACAGCATTACTCATTTCTCCTCACATAGCTGACACATACTAGAGAGAGAAGTGAATTAAATTATTTGAATAAATTCGAAATGTTTTGCGTTCTATTTGCTACCAGAACCACTTATAATAAAGAGGTACCATGTGCAGCAATTTCCATCCAAGAATGGTTATGTATGCAAATGTGTGGTACATTTTCAGCATTTTCCATGGAAAACAAATGGTTCCTTTTTTGCAGTTATTCAAAAATAACAAAGCATTCATTTCATATTTTTAAAGCCACTTCACTGCAACACTGTTGTTATGCAAATCTGGCAAGAATGAAAATTAATATCTGAAATACACAGCTGTGCTTTATTATAATATTTTCATCGGTATTCTCAGCGAATAACAAAAGTAACTTGAACAAATTTCCTCTAATGTAACAAAAAATTTGAGCTTACTAAAACTGATGGAATTGCAAATAAGATAAGCAAGGATGAGTTTTGCGAAATAAGATTGAATAACTGCAAATTTTACAAAAAGTTCTAAAGGAAACTTTCAGCTAAATTCTTTTAAATTATGCATGATTTTGCATTTCAGTCGCAATTGTTTTTTTGAAATTTAAGGTTCAAAAAATAAATTTCAGCCAAAATATTATAGAAAATTTTTAAATTCATTTGTACCAATGTTTGAGTTCGAGTAAGAAAAGAAATATTTTAAGATTGAAATAATTTACTTACTTGATATTTGATGAAATAAATGCTTTTTGTTAAGCTCTATTCTCGAAATAAGCTTCCCTTCTATCTTTGAAAATTAAAATTCGTAGTGAAGTCTAAGAATTTGAAACTTTTATAACAGTGATAAAGTGAGTCACAATGCATTTACTTGATTTCATTTGCCTCAGATTTCTCGAGGCATTAAAACTCTTTAGTGAATAACTCAGCAATTCATCAATGAATCAGACCTGCACTCACTTCAGGCGGCTTACTACAAAATAGAATGCACTGATTTAATGTAGTCATTATAACAGGCAAAATTTATTATCCACAATTTGAAGTATTAAGGTTTCGTTGATTAAACAAATTCTTCAGTTCCTTCTTTCTCTCTTATTGCTAATTCACCGACTTTTCAACAATTTCGAAATCTCTCTCTTCACAAATGAAAATAGAGCTGAAATTTACAAAATTAATGATCAACTACGAAAGTACGGCCTTTAGATGAGAAAGGCAACAGTCTAGTGCTTTGATTTCAGAAAAGTTCACACTGATGTAATCTTTGTTCGATATTGCTTTTGAACAGCACATGATTGATGGCTTCTTGTTTCTCTCTATCCAAATGTTGCAAGAAGTTTTCCTTTTATAGACTCCTTTTCAAAAAATTCATCTTCATTTGAATGATTCATTAAATTCAAACAAAAAAATATACAGTTCGGATTTTTGAATATGGAAATTTTCAACAAAGCATGTTTGGAATCATACTACAATGTTTGCAGCATATGAATAATCTGCCTCATAGTTCAGGAAGCTCCGTAATGTCCCACTGATAACATCTTTTCCCGAATGAATCAATGCTATGCTGATCTTGCTGAGAACTTCAAAGGATATATTATTTAAATTTTAAATTGATTTTTCCTACTGAAACACACCAGCAGATGCAAACCAGTCATCACCTCTCGTTAAAAACTGAATTTTTAATCAAAAGAAAATAAAGACATGAAAATGAATAGCACTAACATTGTCCACTAAATTCCGAAAAGGATAGTTCGGATCGGTTATATATTTCGTTAGCGTATACGCGTAGAAATGATCGTTTTCCCAAGCCGCCGTCCACAAAACACCGATATTTTTTGTCTCTTTCTACCATTCGATCATAACTCTTTGCTAGCAACCGATCCATATCTACCTACTTCTTCTCCCTTTTCTCCTCTCCTTCTTTCCTTTTTTGCACTGACAAATTTGCAATGAAAATACCATATTTGTTACCTGCGATTCCGATTATCTCAAAAAAAGAGGAAATGGAATTAGGTTGTCTTAAATATACCTCACTGCTTATCATGTGATCCTTATGTTTTTCTAATTTTAAGAAATCTTGTGTGAGTTTTAGGAAAGCAGTGATTACATTCCATGATATGCTAAAATTATGGCAGAATTTCATTCAAAGTTGAAAGACGTTTAGCTGAGTGTTTGATTTATACGCTTGTTTACGTGATTATTTCTAAAACATTTTACATAGATATGTTTGAGATACAAATCCTGGTTATCTCACAAACGTATAAAATGTGTAATTTCAATCTACATCTCCAGTTTTCACTTGCCTTACTGAAAACGATCGATAAATTTCTCTCCCTTTAGATTTTGCAAATTGTTCTTGGAATAAATTCCAAGAACAATTTTCAAAGAGAATTTATCTCTAAATATTTCTATATCATCAGGATATAGTTTTACTCTACAAAAACTACTTTTCAAATTTATATTTTTCAATTTAATAGTATGAAAATGATGAGAAAAAGTGAAATAAAAGTTGGAAAGACGCAAAAAAAGTTGGTTAGTGAAGTTAGATTGCGAGAATTTATTCATGCAAAAATGAAGTTAAAGTATTAAGGATTGACAAATGTCGGTTGTTCGATTGGGATGAAGAAAGAGGACGCGTGACGATCCTCATAAAATAAATAGCAGTATTTATAATCAATTTAAAATGAATTATACAAGTTAGAAAGAATTATAATAGGGATGAATGGTGCAGAGCACACTTCTTTCTCGAATTTCCCTTCAAAAAAGAAGAGATGTTTTTTTATGGAGGACAAAGTGCTTTAGGAATCGGACTGCTTTTTTTGATCACGGAAGTGAAAGGAAGATGGTTGTTATCAAGTATCGAAGGACGTAATCAGCTATCTACTTCACTTCTTCTTTTCCCCTCTCTTATTCTCCTGAATAAAACTCCACTGTAATACAATTTTGTAAATAACTTTATATTCTGTAATCATTCAATTTGTCTCTTTATAGCAAGAATCATTGCTGTTATTTATTATTATCATTGCAGTCAAAATTTAATTTCAATTGTCTGCCATTACAACTTTACTATCAGCAATCTGTTAATCATAATCATTATCTTCATTACCATAGTTATCAGTTAAATAATCACCAGCTGATAAATTCATCCTTAGACATCTAATTTCATCTCTTTTCGTAAAAAAAAAGAATGAGAATGACCATTGACGAAAATATAATCTGGCGCAATTTCCACTGACATATGTCTTCCGCTCTTCACTTCATTCAACCTCATTTCAGGCATAATTACTTTTTTTTCATTCGCCCTCGATCATTATTACCTTCGAGAAGAACATATCTCCAAGGCATTCTCTTGTCATTTCTTGTGACGATAGATCGCTTTCCTATTGTCTCGAAAATTTTCAGACTTAAGTCTTTAAGATCCACTTTTCACCATTTCAAATGCTATGAACTTAATTTAATACTTGAATTCAACACTTTTAAAACAAAATGAAAAAATCTTTTAGAACTTTCAACTTTCGAAAAAAAGCGCAGCTCAATTCCTTAACCAATTGTCAGATACTGATAATATGAAAGTTAACATTGAACAACAGACTTTTGAGTAATATTTGTGTCTTATCACAAATATTTCAGGTTGTCCTACATTAAAAGAGATTAATTTTGAAAGTTTTCATTTTCAAAGGAACATAAAATAAATGGTTTCAATAAAGAACCAATGGTTATTCCCCTCGTCTCATTATCAAGTTTTTTGTTACAGAAAAAGATGCTATTAACCGAAGTTGTTGGATTGTTTATTTGTTTATTTGTCAAATTGTGTTCGATTGCTTTCATAAATATCAGTGTTTAACTGCATATCATTTCAAGAATTATTTTAAATAAGATCAATAGACTTTCATAGCTAAGCTTGATTCACTTATCTTTTTTGACTTATACATTCTTATTTTCAATCATGAAACTCAAAACTTCCAAGTAAAACAAATCGTAGCCAAAATAGAATACACTAAATATTAAATTCTGACGAGAAAAATTCAATGTCCATTGTTTATTGTTTTCTGTCATGTTAGTCCATTAATTTTTCTCATTAAATTTTGTTCAGTTGTTGTTAAAAGAAGAAAAAAAAAATTGAGAAATTGTTAAGTGATAAATTGAGGATTTGTTGTAAATGCAATAGAGGAAATAATTATGTGATTTCAAGCTCTTCAAAAAATATTCCGGGAACCAATCGAATCATTGCTTGGTTGTTGTGTTGAAAAGTAGGCAAAGAAGATTTTAATTGTTCTAGGTTGAAAGTAGCTTTTAAGTAGCCAGCAAATTGAATTTTGAAATTGGAGTCCATAAATCTAGCACTTCAAAGGACGTGTCTATACCTCCCACATAGTTTCTCAATCCAAACCATTCCATCGGCCGATGTTGCATCATTTAGTCCAATTTACGATTTACCTTTCCAACGCATCCGATTTACCTTTCCAACAAATCCTATAATATTTATTCGAATATTTCTTGTTCTTTTTTCATCCCAAATTAACCGCTTTGTCAGTTTTAGTATCAATCCTTAATTACATTCTAAACTATTCTTAATACTCAAATATGTGCTGATGCAATTCTATCTTCTCTCTTTAAGAATAGAAAGAAAAAAAAATTTTTTTTCTGAAACATTCTTTCATAAATTCAAGTCTATTTTTAATTTGTGGAAATTTCATTTACAAATGAAATAATATTTATTTCAATGATATTGCGAAAACTTTGTCTTCGAAATCAGTGAATCGTTTTCACATACTTTAATGAATTTTCGCATGACATCTTATGTCATCTTTATAAAACAGTACAACTTTTTAAAATATCCTAGCATTAAAAGCTATAATTCGTCAAAATGAAAGAAAAAAAAATAATGATGATTATTGGGAAAATTTTATAAACATAGCATTAAGTTATCGAACTTGGCCTATGAAAAAATGGAAGGCATACAGAACAGATAAATTAGCATTAATAACAGACAAATTGTCCTACGGTCAATTTACTGACTAAGATTTTCATGGCACTTTATGCTAATCCGACAAACTCGAAAATTTTTTTGGAATTAATTATTCCAATGTTAATATGTAGGTACTTGTCACAGATTATCACGGATATATAGATAGCTTTTTTCTGTTCCTTGAGATCATCGCATTTATCAAGTCTTCAGGCTCTTTTGTTCGGATCTTGTATTTGCCTGGAAATCTTTCCTCATAAAAGCTTTCACTTCAGATGATTTGATCTCAAATCTCAGTTAAATCTCAACCGTATATTGAAATGTTAAAATTTTTCCTCATTTATTGAAGTTTTATAACGAATTCAATCTCAGGAGATTAATAATGATTTATTGCTATTAGCTTTGTATATTGATCAAATTGATCAAACTTAATAGTCCGATTTATGCAACTTTCTTTAGTTTTTCAAGTTCCTATTTGCATTTTGCTGTTGAATTAAATCAATTTCTGATGTGAATTTTTCAAACAGCCACTTCTCATTTCATATTTTCCGACAAATCCAAAAAAAGCATTCAGATGAATCAGATGATTGTAGTGGACTGTAGTAAAAGCTTCTATCAGCACCGTATCACGATTTTCTCACATGCGCTACGGCTAAAATTTCTGAAACACTCACCAACAGCAACCCTGAGAAAGTAGTATTTCCTCATAAGAACCCGCTAACTCTTTATTATTTACCGACATTTATTTTATTATTAACAGCTTCCATTCTCATCAATTTTGTTATCATTTTGTAAATTCCATAATATTTACTATTTTTTTATTAGCATAGCAATAAATTATGGATGTTGAAGTTATTCTGATTTCTGCTCGTTAGATTTAAAACTGAAAAGCTTCTCCTTTAATCAAAAAAGTTGAATTTATTCATCAGAGAGAAATTATCATTGATTATTTAAGAAAAGACTTAGCGAAAAAACAACTCTATGAAATGAACTGTTGCAAAGGCTTGAAATGTCACATAAACTTTCATAACCTCTTTAGTTACTCCAAAACTCAATTCGTTATTAAGTCTCTTCTAGCTAAAATAAATTCTAACATTTGCATTTGAACCATGCAATAGGAATTCTTTTTTTAACTTTAAAGTTAAATAATAATTCCATATTTATAATATTTTCGTAAACAGCGAGTTATTCTGTTTCACACTACATTAAATCAAAATTTCAAATCGATTGAATTTTGAAGTTAACAATGCATCAAAAATTTAGGAATCTTCATGTAAATATTAAAAACAGATTTCAAGTCAGTAATTTTTTCACTAAGTAGTAAACACTTCACTAAGTAATAAACATTATTGTTCCTTGCTAGCAAACTTTTCGCCCACCTAAAATTTTTTTGAGGAAATTAAAATCTCATTCTTTCCTCTCTCAATTTGCTATCCAGTTTTCGGAAGGAGATTACTGAAGAGTAGTGATGTCAAAGAGATTACTCGGACATGCAAAGTCGATAAAAACAGTGTCGTTGATGAGATAATTGAGGATTTAGCTGTCATGCCGTATCGCTGAAGTTCTTCTACTGTCGTAGATATATTTTCAATATGTTTCACGTGACTACAAATCAAAATATTAAAATTAACTCATTCTTATTCCAAATGTTTCATTATCCATCCGTTTTTCTAATTTTTTGTATGAATCGCTAAAAAATGAAAATTATCCAATAATTAATTTCGTCCCACAAAGCCATTAATTTCATTCAACTGTGCAACTTTGCACTTGGACCATTGTGATTAACTCAATCGTATAAGCATGATGATGTGTTTGTCTGCTCGATGTGATGCTCTCGGTTATATCAGTTGTGTGTATGGCTATGCTGGAGTTTTAGCTTCTGTCTCAATTTAGTTTAAATAATCGAGAAGCAATGCTCATAACATACCATATATGTGTATATTAACTACAAATATTGGCAGGATCAATATTCAGTTCGAGAATGTTTGATTAATCAAACATTCTCGACCTCTTATATCAAAAAAATCTGCAGAGTTGGTCTTGGTTCCATTGTTTTACTATAGTTTATGCCACAGATAACTTTCAAAAGCATTTGACTACTTTATACCCTGAATAGCCTTTTAGGAATGTTAAAAACAATAACCATTAGGCAAATGAAAGACAGCACAAGATGGAATGGTTTCAAATTTTCCACATGGGTCACGGTCAAACTCCACAACGATACTTGATTCTGTCAACTTAATTACAATTAATCTTGAATATTGCTGTGCAATTCAAAACTGCGATTAACGTATAACGAGTATGCTAATCTGGTGAACAGATACTGCATGCGGCTTTTCTTTTGAAGTTACATAATTCTGCCAGTGCGCCAAAATGTCGCGTAAGGAAGCAAATCCTTTTTTAATTAGAGGAATTTGAATATTGGAGCAACATTCTTTTGCATGATACAATTTCAAAACCCATATATCTCTTTCAAATTTGTTTTGGATTTTTCTGAAACTTTAAAAAAACAGCATTTTCTTTAAGTTCCAATCAGAGTTCGATTATGATGCTAGGCTAACCTTTCGTATTTTGGTCTTACAAGCATTTGAAATGACATAATATAAAAACAATCCTTTTAATTGGTTAGTAGACGGCTAACAATTAAGTTCGCTAATATCAAATAAATGAATCAACAAACAATTAGAGAAAAAAGAGGACTGATTCAGAAGAAATTTATGAACCACCACGACCTCAGTCCTCATTTCACTGCATCTGATGAAATGAGTCAGCCATCAATACATCGGTACTGTGTAAATGAAGAAGGATCTGGTGGAAAAGTTGAATGATGAGAAAATAAGATAGCAGTGTGATGAAGTATCAGTCACTGATCTGTTTCAATTTGACAAGACGAAAGTGAAATACCGATATCATTGATTAAGTCATCTTAATCAAATTGAGTGCTTGTCTTTGATCTTCCCGTTTTTGTTATTGTTCATTTGTAAGTATGACCTTTTCTGTAATATATTCCTAAACTAAAAAGCTAAGCTGTCGAATTTCAGCAACGCGACCTTTGTTTTATATAGACCAGGTCTTTTGAATCACATACTGAATTCCGAGGGATGTATAGTTCTGGAATTTTCCTTCACTTAGATTTCTGTTAAAAGTATGCATGAGACTTACAAGTACTCAAATTCTATCAGATCTACTTTCAATATCGAGCTAGTTTGATCGTTGGTTTTTGATCGGTATTCTTCTTAATGCATGATCTGTTGCCAGTACACTAGAAAATTCTAATTTTAGGAATGACAGCAAAATGTATCTTCGATCTTCCCTGTATATCATTTAATATCTCTGATGATAACGGTTGTTGATTACATTTTTTGCACAATGTATTTAATATGTTTGTTCCTTTTTCAAATTAAACTGCGCAACAAAATTTTGAATTTCTTAGCACAGTTTAAGGAATAATTTGAAAGTTTTGCATCATTTGGGTGATTTTTTATAAGGAATTTAATGATATGATTGGTCGATCATCATGATAACAGGGAAAGAATTTGATCATTAGCGATATGTACAGAGAGAGAGAGAGAGAGAGAGAGAGAGTGGAGAGTTGAAGAGATATATCCATCCTTTGTAGTCCTCATTCCAGTATCAGTATGACCTGAAAGCGTTTCTTCCCACTCCGTTGCAGCGGTAAGGTCACGAGTGGATTTCAGGTTCAGTAAGGGAAGGAGGAAGAAAAATGGTTCCCAACGGCCATCTGTCATTTTGCCCTGAGTGCAAACACAGTATGAACGCCTCTGTTCACTCCTCTCCCTCCACGGCCCTCTCCATACGTTTACATTTCCTGCCACAGAGGCGGGCGGTATTTTCCCGAAGGCGTGGCGTGCATGTATTATTGGTGAACAGTCCTGGGATGGGCAAATACGGACGCGTGGGGCACTATGCCACACTATCCTGTATCTCTCTCCTGATAAGGTGGTGTATTTACTTATAATCAAATTATCCCTTTGCTACTTTCTAAATCACTCGATATTTCATTTAGTTCATTTTTGAGTGCTTAATTGGTTTCAACTTTCATCATGAAATGTCTCACTTATCAAGTCATTATATCTTTCATTTAAGGTGATGTCGGGGCAGGATAATATCCACAATATTCAGATTCATCTTATTTCTCATTCACTAATCCTTCCTTCTTCTCAATTGTCACTTCAATTTCTCTTGCCAATTTAAAAGTCCGTATTCTTTCCCGCTCATTCCCGAAATTTTTTCTAAACAGAATGAAAACGTTCATGTATATATAGAAAATATCCCTCCTGTTATCGTGAAATTTTACTGCGTTTTTTTTTTCGAGATATAGCACGTAGAGAATATCCGATCTTCCGAAAGACGGAGAAACGAGTTGATGAATTGATAATTTAGTAAGGTTATTATTCCATGATAAACAGAAATGATATTAAAACTTTATTTTCATTTCTTTTTGTGCACTTTATCATAAAAACTTTTATCGACTTTCAAAGGAATTGCTGAAATTTCAACGTTTACTTAAATTTCATGGAATTTCTATAATTTCTGCAGAATTTGATATGCGTTTCGAATTTTTTAAAAAAAAGAAAAAAAAATTTTTTTTCCTTATGTCATGAATGTCTTGCTCCTATTTTTGCGTAAATCTTGAATTTTATATATTTTGTATCTCAACTAATTTGTAATATTCAATTTTTATCTTACCCAGTTCAGTTCTAGTATGATGAACTTTAACATGAAATTTGAGTAGCCTCTCTATCTGTTTTGATTAATTATCAAATATAACTTTGTTGTGTTTTTAATTTGGCATTTCTCAGTAACATTGCCATAGTTGTGTTGTCCTTTCAGCGTTTTGGCTAAGCTTATTCTTTATGCCAACAGTTTTATTCTTCCTATCTCTGATAAAGGAAAACGAATCTTTTTACTTCATTAAGTTGAATTCTCTCTCAGTGTTAACATAAGGAATAGAAGTTGTTCTTTTTATTATAATTTTATGAGACTTCTACGCTAACTTTGTAGCGTGAAGAATTGAAAACCATATTTAGTTTTTTTTTTTTTTTTCTTCCATCTTATTCAAATATGAGATGTTTTACATCTTTTTTGTTCAACAAAGAAATATGTCCAGCGAATTATAATTAGTATTAATTAGTATATAGAGAAAACAGAGTTGACCAATACATTAAAAAATTTAGGAAAAAGTTTCAAAAACTTTCAACGAAAATTTCATGTCTCTAATATCAACAACAAAAGTGCATTAGGAATTTTTCCTTCTTTAGAATTTTTTTCTTCTTTTGCTTAATTTAATTTCTCAATTTCATTTATCCAATTTAAACCTCTAAATTTCCCTGAATTAGAAAAAAGATCTTGGTGGAAGAATAGATTTATCACAGAGTTATTGCATTGGTATAGATTTTTCCATTGCGATATTCAATTCCTCAATTCCATAAATATTTACAATAAAGTTAGCTCATCAATGGCTTTAAATAGAAATGAAGTAACAGTTAACTATAAGTTCAGCTCTGAAACCATCATATGTTTCAGAGAAATACTTTTCCGTACTTTAAATTTTAAAAATTTTTTTTTCATTTTCGAATTTTTCCCAAACGATCTACCACTGTTCGTTCAATGTTTGCCTTAGAATGTGCGAAATTTCCTTCATATCTTCCATGAGTTGACTAAATTTCAGAGTTACACACTGGAATGCAATAGGACACTGTCACTAACTATTACGCATTGGACATTCAGACTTCAGAATAGAGTAGACTTAAGAAAATTATATATAAATATAATTATAAATAGACGACTAGAAGTGCTTCAATTCACCGACACTTTATTGGGTTCGCAACATATTTTCTTTTTGGAATATATTTGAGTAGTTCTTGCATTTTTGACTGGGTTGAACCTGAAGGTTAAAAAGCAGCAACAAAAAAAGACGCACTGCGAGTTCGTTCGCAGCACCAGAATGCTCCATTATCGCGTATCGCCAATCTATATTATGATCATGGGATACAATATTCTTCGTTTGGTAAGGTGCTTTTGAATAAGATTTAAATTTAATTATTCCCTTGGTTAGCTTAATAATCATTTAAATTTGCTATTTCTCGAGGATTTTCGTCGATATTATTTGATATCTTTTGTAATGCATTGAATCTAGCACGTTTTTATTGTTTACTGCTACATTCATTGTTTAACAAATTTTTTTATTTGTTGAACTGTCCATTAAGCATTTAATTGTACGTGCTAACGTTCACGTGTTACACGTTATTGTATAAGTTCTATTGCACGAAGAATTCTCTGCAAAATAACATACAGAAGGATAGTCGTTGCTTAAAGTATTACTTATGCATCGGAAACAAAACATTGAGCCATTCATTAGGCGAAAAGATGTAAAAGAGGGCATGTTTAATCATAATCACTGATAATATAAGTATTTTCTTGATCAGGAAGCGATTGCTTTATTCAGTTGTGTGGAAAACGACTAAATATTTGTGTCTGTTTTTCCCATAGATTTTTAAATCAGGAAATTTCCTAAATCTTTTGAAATCAACCAATTGTTGGGTTTTTTTTGCAGTGTTCTTGTGCAGGATCGTTCGAAATACGATTGGTTTCGTTGACAGTTGGCTCGAAAGAGGAGTTTCGTCCTGAATTAAGGATTTGTCTGAAGCATTTTGAAAAACGCATTAGCTATAATGGCGAATGTACATTTGGTGAAGTGACACTTGATGCGGAACGGTTACGTAACGGAACAAAGATTGAATTCCAGTTTGGTTGGCCAGTATGTGCTTATTTACCTTTTTCCTTTTTAGTACCGACTGAAAGTAAACCTTTTGCCTGAGTGGTATTGGGAAAAAGTTTTTAAGAGCGCATGAAAGAATATATCCATTATTTAGTTTTGAGATGATATTCCATCGATTACTCCAACATGAATTATGGGAAGGAAGAGATAAATCACATAAAGTTGAAGTGGAAGATGTCGTTTGATGATGTGACTTTTTTTATTGTGAAATGCAAAAAGGATCTCATTTACTCCTGCATGAATATAATGTGCACTTACCATACTTTTAATCTGTGAGTGTCATGGAGTTCATAAGCAACAGTTTCTATATATCAAAAATTTTAAAATATTGCAAATGAGTTAATGACAGTGTAAAAAATGAGATAGTTTATGATAACCATTAGAAGATCATTAGTTGTTGAGGAAATTGACTGGAATAGATGACAGTTGTGAACTGTTTCAATACACCGGATATGCAGTAAATTTCCACCGTATTTTCGCTGCAATTTGTTTCACCGCACGAGGTACTTTCAATGAGATACCAATATAATTGGAGTTAAGAAATACTCCAATTTCTTCTTATGAGAAAGTATGGATTGTTGACATTACCGCGTGAAACAACAATATCTTCCCAACAACCATTACTGTTTCAACACGTTCGCTGTTAGGTGTTATGCATGTATTATGTTCTTTTCGTGCTTCCCTTTTTTTCATGAGATTTTCGAGGGGTGAGGGGTGTGACAGCAAAACTGTTGCTCTTTCATGCTTCATCTATATCCTTTCAACATCACTGTATCACACTAACATCTTCCAAGGTTCTTTCTCACGGGTTTCCAGTAAATGCATTTATATAGTGCAAAGTTTTGGCAGAAATAGTATGACAGGCAAAAACAAAACTGAGAGGTGCAGACATGAGGGGGAAAGGTTCTACATATATTGTGAGAGTGTCTAATGTATTTATATGTGTGAAAGTATACTCAATCCTATGAACCGCAGAAGTGTTGGCCTTATTTTGTTAAATTGATTGGTCAATAAATACAAGTTTTAAGATTTATGTGGAACTATTCGGTTAAATTAGTTTATTTTCTTTTGAGTAAGAATGGATGAATGGTCGAGGAACATATTTATTCATAATGTTGAGTTTTTAATTTTAGGAATCGTTTACGTTAATAACGGAAGCATGGAGAACCACTGGAAGTACGTTTACTTTTCTGTAATTTTTTTTGAAATGTTTTTTATCACATCTTTCTATTTATCCCTTTAGCTACTCTTTTATCTCTGCACTTTATATATAGAAAATCAGCAACAAGGTGTGAAATTATTTAGCTGTGGAAGTGAGCAGTGCAACTGTTTATTCCGGATTAATTTACTAAGTCTCTACTTTTCCACCTCTTTATCAATTACGGCATCTTTTTGATGACCTTAGCTCAGTTAGTTATATCAGCAGTGAATCTTTGCGGTTCATTACTTTTTTTTCTGTTGTCAAATCTTAATAATCTATCTCTCTCCTATGTTCCATTTTCATTTCCTTTCCCTTTACCTTATGTACTTTCTAAGAGATTAATGCGTACAGAGATAAACATATAGTTATTCATGATATTAGCTCTCAATAACGCTTAGAAATTAATGTCGCACTGAGGCATCTGAATGACTTGAGTGAACAATAAAATTTGTGACGCCATTCAGACTAGAATCAGACCTTGATCTTTTGTGGACAAATTCCTGAAATTTCATCCTTCTAATTCCAGATTTGAAAAAGTTAATGTCTCATAATGGCTTTCAACGTGAAAGTATACCTTCGGGCAAAACTTGGACTGAAGAAACGCTTGTTGGTACAAATGGTTTTCGAATGAGGATCGCTTACAGGATAACATGTGCTAATGATTATTATGGACCACGATGTCTTACATTTTGTCAGCCGATGTCTAGTACTGTTGGTCATTTCCAGTGTACATCGAATGGGTCATTAGCGTGTTCACCTGGCTGGGAAGGATCAAGCTGTGACATTGGTTCGTTCCACAATTACCCTTGCGAAATTATGAAAAAAAGTTCATTTATTATTGTACTAATGCAAATTACTACAAATTGCACTACTGCAAATCTGTAAAGATGAAATTGTTGGTAATTTGGAAGGAACGATTTTGAATCAAAAAACCGTTTATGTGGGTCCTGAGACAAACCATCTTGTATAATTGCTTCTCATACCATATTCTTAACTAACCAAAACGATATGGCATAAAGATTGCGCTTCACATCTCAAAATGTAGCATCCTTATTTTATGTTAACAATGATTCCTTCTCGTTTTAACTTTTTTTATAATAAGCAAACTTTAGTTTCCTTTTTCAAGCTTGAGCTTCACAGTGAACTTAGTTTTATTCCAGTTTTTGGCAAACAGTGCCCGAGATATTGATTGGTAAACAGTACCCAAATTAGAATGAAAAGTTAACAATGATTGCATTGGATGCTATTGCTATTATTTACTCGCTTTCGTAGGAATGTAGATCATTGTTGATATGCATAATATAATTAAACGCACTTCTTTTTGGCTCTTCTGAATATGAAGCACCTCTCAAGGGTACCTTACCCCCATTATATTCTTCGTTTACCTCTCATAATTCTTTTTGTTTATTAACTGTACTAATGCGCAAATAACGAGGGTCGTATTAACATTGATGTTACTTTCTTTCGTGCAAAAATATTAGTTCTTAGAATTTTACAAAAGTTTTTCAGTGTCATATACTAAACTAACTACCTGTTTTTTTCATCTGAAACTTGAGGTACTTTTTCTGATTGGCAGATCCTCGCTGTTATTAATGCGATCGTATTTTCTTACCTTTTTCGAAGTAATTTGCCAGAAATTATCCTATTAATGTCTAGTAATTTATCTCAAATGTTAGAAGATATTAAAATTTATTCAAATAGGTGGAATTTAACTAAGAGAAATAGCTGTTCTTCAATAAATTCTTAGTTAGTAAATGCATTTTAATATAGAGAAAACAAGCTAAGGTTTAGAGGTGCATGTGTTACATAATTTTGACGCAAGTAGTGTGAATAGTTAGCAATTAGTATTGCTTCGAAGGCCATCTTCCATTGTATTTGTTTGTTTCTTTCCTTTGATTTTTCATTCTAGCTTTTCTGACCATCTGCTCATCTATCAGGAAAACGAGCCATTAATATCATATAAATGAATAAAAAAGACTGGTCACTACTGCCAGGTACAGAATCGTCTGAGAGAGAGAGAGAGAGGCGCATAAAAAAACCTTTCTTCGTATGGTTTCCGACTTGGAAAGTTTTGTGTTTTTTCTTCTTCCATTCCGATTTATGAAATATTTTAGCCAACCTGAATTACAGCGTTTATTTTTCGTTACTTTTCTAACCTAGTATAATTAATACAGCAAGAATAATGCAATCTTTAACTTGGAACATCAAGAAATGCTTTTACTTCCAATCTAATTTATGGATTTAAGCTATACAAAAAAATTTATGGATTTAAGCTATACAACTTTCTTGGATCCGTTTATCTTCGAATTATTCCTTCATTCTTCAACTTTCTCAGTAAAGTTTTTTTGCCATTTTAATAGACAAATTATGACCGAATCAAAATATATCATCAGTTTTCACTTGTTTCGCACTCGCGTGATAGCCAAATTAAGGGTTGAAAGTGCCACAGTTTTGATTAATGAAGAGATTGGTAGTTGTTTGACTGAAAATTATTTTCAAATGCAGTAAACAATACGTTCAAGCTTCAGCACGTTGCGATAATTGCATCAATGGTGCTTGCGATCGACCTGATTCATGTCGCTGTAAAACTGGATGGACAGGACCAAATTGCGATCAAGTGTGTTTTTTAGGTTTTCGCAGAAATCTCAGAAAAAGAAGAAATAATATAATTCAAAGACACAAGTGATTTTTTCTAAAGTTTTTCTAAATTCAAGAAATATTCAATGTTGAATGCTTATGCTTGCAGTGTGTGCGATATCCGGGTTGCAAGCATGGCACCTGCAAAACGCCCAATCAGTGTATTTGCGATGAAGGCTGGGGAGGACATTTTTGCAACGAAGGTATTTCAAGGTTTACTGTAGTTCAAATCGGGACTTATAATTTTCAAACACACCAGACATTTTAGAATTTGATTGTTTTTTAGATTATTATTGATTGAATATTTAGCAAATACATTCATGAAGTGTTGGAAATAATGTTCAGTTTAAGAATTTTCTAAACATCATATACTATATACCCATACTCAGTACTTCCTATTAGTACTCTTTTAATGAAGTTCAAAATAACAACTGATTTTGTGGTTTTAGAGAAGTATTTTACAGATTTGAATTACTGCACACGACATCATCCGTGCAGAAATAATGCGACATGTAGAAATACAGGTCATGGACAGTATACATGCGAATGTCCAGATGGATATACAGGAACGGACTGTGAAATACGTGTACAGAACTGCTCATTACAGCCATGCTTAAATGGGGCTACTTGTTCTGTATGTATACTTTTATCTATAAATTTCAGGAATCGATTGTTTGAAGAACAGTAATTTTGATTATGTGTTACATGCTTGTGAGGGTTTCAATGTTATTTGTTAAATACTGTTTTGATTTTGTGCTTTAAGGATATGCCTGGGAACACCTATATTTGTACCTGTCCAAAGGGCTTTACCGGTCGTTACTGTCAAGTTGCTGCTACCTCGTGTTCAGATTCACCCTGTCAAAATGGTGCTACTTGTGCGGAAATTGGTGGAGTCTTCCGGTGTACTTGTTTGCAAGGATGGACTGGTACTACCTGCGATATCGAGATCAACCCTTGTGATAAAGTCCATTGTTTTAATGGTCAATTTATTCCTATAGTTTCTGAAATTTTTTTTCTGAAAAAAAAATCTTAACGGGTAAATATAAAAGCCATTCCAGTGGTTAGGTTTGATACTGCTTACCATGAACGAAATGCAACAAATTGACATAAAATTGCTGTCTTTCAAAACACAGTGATACGCGATACAGTTCAGGTTGCAGGTTAAGTGTAGTATTTGTCGGTTAGTATTTATAGTCACAGCAGGGTGGAGCGCTTGCTAGTGCTAGTTGGGTTGCACAAAGGTTTTCCGACGTGTTCGCCTGCTGAGTGTAGGAAGAGTGTATTGTTGTAAATGTTCATGCTTTTAACATTAAAAAAGCAATTAGTAACAAAATAAGTTTGTTGCTGGACCTGTTATTTGTGGAATTTTTCTAAAATTCTAATTTAAAAAAAAAATTCGTGCTGTATGTTGTTTAGTTGATGAGAATTTAACAGAGTGCTTCATTATATGGACCTCCCATACTACTCAACCTACTGTTTTGTTTTCATTTTTGAATTGAAAAAAAATCATGCTGAGCTGCCATATTGACCAAATTAACCTTGGTTTGATGGGGATATCGTATCGAAGTATTACCTTTATTTTCCTCATCGTGCTTTCTTTCCTTTTTTAAAGTAATTTTCAACTTTTTTCTGTCATCTTTGAATTGGAATTATGGGGGACATTATAGAATTTCCTTTCTTTCAAGGCCACTTATTCAATTCATTGTTGCGCTTTTGGATAAAGTTGATTTAGCCAACCACTCCAAAAAAAATGATTTAAGTAACCGGTGTGGACATTTACTAGTGATGACTAATTTTTACATATGATACGCACTTCAGGAGGGAAATGTGTTAAAAAAAACGTTGCCGGAGACTACGACTGTCTTTGTCCACTTGGTTTCACCGGAAGACACTGTGAGGAAAACTCCAATGAGTGTGCACAGGTAAGTTTGACTACTTGATTGCTAATTTCAAAGAATTGTTTTAGTACTCGTTTTTCCTTTTTACCTCGTCATTTGTTATGTACTTCGTTTTCTTCTTTTCCTTTTTCTATTTCCGCTTTAAATTTCTTGAGGATTATTCAAAATCTAAATGAAACTAACACTCAAGGGTTTGCGAGCGTTTTATGCTTATTTTAAATTTCGCTCAAATTCGAAATGGATTTTTAAAATGGAGTACTTGTAGTTCAATCCATGCATGAATGGCGGCCGTTGCATCGATGAAGTGAATAATTACAAATGCCAATGTCCAGATGGATATAGCGGTACATTATGTCAAGATTCTGTCAGTGCTTGTTTAAATGAGCCCTGTATGAACGGTGGCCAATGTATTGACGTAGAAGGTGGAGGATACTATTGTAAATGTCGCATCGGATTTAGGGGAAGCAATTGTAAAATTGCTGAAATAGGATGTCATCGCAGTTCGTGCAGGTACATTCATGTTATAAGAAAAAAACTCTTATATTGTCTGGATTTTTCTTTAACGCTTTTTTTATGATCAAAAGAAGATTTAAATTCAAGATATTAACTACTTGGTCACTAAATACCATTTATAAGTAAAGCGCTAAAATTCGTTTTCAATTCAGATTTATTTTATCTTACTAGTATCAGTCATTCTCGCATTTGTAGCAACGGAGGTACCTGCGTCGACTCATTTAAAGGCTTTCGTTGCCTATGTCCACCGTGTTTCTATGGCGAAAGTTGTTTACATCTTCAATCAGAATGTCAACCACTTCAACACTATAATCGTACCAGAACTTTTGTCGTAAAAATCGAAAACGAACAACAGGTTATCATTTATGTTGAAAAAGTGCAGATAGCCATAACTGTGCAGTGAAGTTACAGACTTAACAGTAGTTTTCAAAATTTTTAAACACGGTCAAATCTACATAAAAGCTGTCAATTATCCACACAGTTTCATTCGTATTATATAACTACACTGCTTTACTCCTAAATTTTATGTCACCAATATTTCAGGCTTCAAATGGAGGGTTGAACTTCAGAGACATGTTACTCATATTACTTTCTTCGTGTTGTATTCTGGCACTAATGTCCATCGTTATTATTTTTTATCGACAGAAACTAGCAAAGAGAACTTCTTCACTAGATCCAACCTTCCAGAATGACCGAAATTCAAGAATACTTTCGAAATATTCCGAACAAAAGCCATGTTTATCCATATGCACAAACTTAGATGCCGAAATCAATTATTTTGAACGAGACGTGACAAACAAAATTCAGACAGTGAGTTTGTTTTTGAAACTTCGTGCTATATTTGAGTTTCTGATTCAATCAGTTCTTGTATTTTAATAAATTATTCATATAAAAGTGGAAGGAATTTGTCGAACAAAAATTAATAAAACTGTAAAATAGAATTGTAGGAGGATTACATTAATGAAAATAAAGACATATGTAATTGCATTTTTTTATCATTAGAAAGCCGTAGTAAAGTCTCACTCATTGTCACTGTACGTTCAGATAAAAGAAACGACAATTTGAATAGATTTTTTCATGTTTTAAATCTTTATATTTATTTTCATTTTTCCTATTTCAATAATTTTCTCTCTTACAAGGATTTGTCTAAAGAATGTTTAAATTCAGGCGTTAAATATTGTGTGGTAATGCTAATGATAAAAATAAAAAAAGAAAAGCAACATGAAAATTACACCAATATTTTCATGGAACTTTGTTTGAACAGTAGCAATAATGCAAAAATTTTTGATGTAATTTAAATTGAAAATGTTTTGTTTCTTTATTTACAGATATCTGGTAAAAAAAAGTTAGCAGCTCATCCAGGTTGTGAACATCTCGATTATAATGAACGCTATGCGATCGAACCTACTGTCAACATGATGCTACCATCATTAAAAAATGTGGGATGCTGTAATAAGGTGGTTTTTTTATTCTTCAATTTGGAGAAAACATTGAAGTTTCTTCTTGTTTGACATTAAAGCACAGAACTAATGAAGAAATTCGCTAAATTACTTTTTTTTTTTTTTTTTTTTTTTTTTTTTTTTTGTATATTTTCTACTGAGCTCCATATTAGGTGGATATACGTCATTCAAAACGTTTCGAACATTCACCTTTACCACAGTTATGTGAAGACGGTGGTAGTTACTATGAAGAAATTGATGGTGAATTATCAATACCGGAAGTGATATCGCAACAAACAAATAACGAGTCACAATCAAATATCGTCAACCGTCGGGTAACTCCGGATAATAATTCCAGACATATGCAAGATATCATTCATAAGGTAACCGATATACAAACTAATTTATAAGTTCCCTTTCTCAATCTCTTGCACAAATAATATGTTCATCTTTTATCTTTCAGTTCTTGAGCTTAAATTAGTGAGGAAAATACAGAACTGTGAGTTGCTCTAAAGACAACTGATTATTCAATAAGTAAGACTTACAATGTTGGAAAGAATTACGCATTAGATAATTTCTATTAGCCAAGTAATTGCTTACTTACAATCGAATATACCATTTGTTTAAATGTGGTTTAATTTTTTAAATTATTTATATGGAGGTAATGATGTTGTGACTTTTTATGCTGCCACATGAAATTATAGTTGTATGTTGTTATTTCATTACTATTCACGTTAGTGTTGCATATTTGATGTTACTTTGACCTAATTGCTTGTGTTCATTTTATTTGTATGGATCTCGTTCGTTTTCCAGCCAGTGTGCCTCAACTTAAATTGGTTGCGTGCAAATTTTTCAAATGGTATTTATGCGGATTTCTTTTTAAATCTTAGTTTAGTCCATAATAAAACTGGTGATGATTTCATAGTCTTTTGGAGATTAAATTTAAGTTCTGTAAAGAAGGTTTCGGATTTATGAATTTAAAGTAAATCGGTTTTCGTAGAATATCGTTTTGAAATAGATCTCTTGAAACTGTGATGGTTGTTAATTGGGTGGCTTTTACTGTGCATGTTAGCACTATTACTGTCCTTTTATTTCATTTTTTTCCCTTTTCCTCACAGTGCCTATCATATGTTTTCTTTTCTTCATATAAAAATTGCTTCCTTTTTTTACTGATTTTTTTCATTATGATTTGTTTTATTTCTGCATTGTTAAATTTTCCATTTTCTGAAACAGACCTATCTTTCATTGTAATGATCCATGTTTGTAAACTAATTCTCCGAATTTTTAATTTCCCATGATTATATTTTATAGAAAAAATTCGAGAGTCTTACAAGTCCAAGACATCACACTAAAAATTCGAGAGTGTTATAGGTCCAAGAGAACACAGTAAACTATGGGGTCGGGTAGTTAAAGAAAAATTCATTCAATTCGGTAAACTATGTGGGAGTGAATGGTATGAGCTCTTCATTTTTGTATTAATCGATTTCCAAAAAACGATTTAATATTTATAAATCAACTTTTAGCCATTAATAATGTAAATAATGGATTTAATTGTGCATATGTTTTTATTTGTATTAATTTTAAGCAATCCTTTTTAAACGCCTTTTTTCACTATTGATACTTTGTGTCTTCTCAGTTACAAAATGCCTTTGAATGGAAGGAAATTGAATGCTGTAGATTGACTATTTTAACTATATTATTGATAAATGATATGATGATGGAATAGAGTAATTAAAGATATTGAAACTTTTGCATAATATTGCTTTGAAGTATATCAAACATAAAATTCTTGTTGTGGCATTCAATTTTTCTTTTTGTTTCCAATACTTTTAGCTATCTTTATTGGCCACATTTCTAGGAATTGCTTTACTTGTAAATATCTTTTTCACTGTTGTCTATTGGCAGCATGTGGTTATTTTTTTTCTTTACATTTCACTTGTTACTTTTATATAATTATTTCAAATAATACGTATTTTTTCTTCTTCTGACGCCCTAAATAATCATTGTGGAGGTTTGATGAAAAGTTTGAAGCCTCTGCGATTTGTATTTTTCCTCTACTCTTTCAGTAATGGTTTGAATTCAGTTTTTAAATCACTAATAATTGTGCTGCATGAATTTCCATAGTATAAACACTCTAAGATCATTCGTTCATATGTTACACCTTTCTTTTAAATGGCTAACCTGCGGTTAACAATTTTGTGTTTAGTTAATTTTGGTAGCAGGGGATACATTGTATATCAGTGATTGCTGGAAGAAGTGTTTATGCACTGTGATAGCTTCCGTTTTTAAATTAATTATATAAGTATTTCTGGGTACTGAAATGTAGTTTAGCGGGTTAAAAAGTTTCGTTTCAATTAATGTAATGTTGCGGTATAAATGGTTCCATCAGATGAAGAGACGAGTTTGTTGCCAAGTGCAGAATAATTGTTAGTAGAACGGAAGTTTCTTTTTTGAATGCTTGATGGGATGGCTTTGACGTTGCCGTTTTGATTGTTAACAATGAAAGAAGTCTACTATTAATGTTTAGTGTAATACATATGAAGGAACGATTCTCACACTTTTTCAAATAAATTACATTATTTAATGGTTGATAGTAGAATTGTAAAGTGATAAGGAGAAAATGTGATCTCAAGTTGGATTAAGAGTAAAAGGAGGAACGGAGTTGTTAGCTCTATGCAAATTTGCTGTGGTACTTCTTACTTAATTTGTCTTATTTAACTTATCATGAGCAAAATGATCCTTCCTATAAATTGGAAATAATCTTCGAATTAATAAGTGCATTTTTATAAAGTGTATGACATTTTTGGGATCTACAATCAAAAATTTCTGGAGTTGAAATGTATGTGTTCGTGCGATTGCTTTAATTTTAAATAATATTTAATGAGAATTTAAAAGTTTGCTTGATATGAGGAAATTACTGGGATCATTAGATTTGTTAAAAATAATTTATTCATTTAGCAAAGAGTTGAAGCTTTATGGAAATATTAAAAAGAGGAAGTGATGTTGGTAGTTAATGGCCGAGTGGTAGTATAATAATGCTATGCCATCAGGCTATGGTTCGCTGTTTACCTCGGTCGGTGATGAATAAGTGTTACCGCCCCAGACTGAATGTTGGTGTGGAATGGTATATAGTTCTGTAGACCAGAGACCGAAGGGAAAATTCTCACGTAGCGTTTTGTTGAAGTTTAGGTGATAAAATTTATGGTGATGGTACTACCGCTATCCTTAAGGAACGGTTGGGACTGCAGAATCTATGGGCTGGAAGTATATATCGGGAACTACTTTACTAAAATTTTCATTATTAAAGAATGATTGATGAGGAAAAAGAGTTCACTCAGCAATAACTTACAAACTACACGGATTTCACCGTAAAAATGAATTAACATCTGTATGGCAAGTAATGGTTGTTGCGCACATCTGTTCCTTATTTGCTCTCTAGTTGGATAAGGATGACCTCTCCTTAGCAAGTAATGTTCAAAGATTTAGCGACAACGAAAAAGCATTTTGCTTCCAAAGGATAAATAAATCAGATTAGCACTAATCTAATTAAAAGGGGTCAAAAAACGGACAAAGGTTTAGAACTTTTTTAATGGTGTGTTAATAGCAAGCAACACTCATGAAAATAAGCTTTGTATTGTTCATACCGCTCGCTATGTAAATATAAGTTATACCTTTGTACTGCCGTTAAATAAGCATAATATCCGGAAGAATGCATGCTTTGCTTTTAAATGCTTTTTGTGCCGGAAGAAAAGGATGCATATATGGGACTTAATTAAACATTACACGAAAGCTTAATGACCAGTTTAATTTATTTTCATATTTCCTCGATTCATCACTTTTTACTAAGACGGAAGGAAGTCGTCGAGCTGTTGAAATAACAGGGCGGCAGCGAAAAAAAACTGCTAAAACATCTGCAATCGCAAATGACTAAAATACATTAAGCATCATGAAAAAAAAAGTGTTTTCAAGATTAAAAGGCTTTTTTTTGAAATTCGGGTGTGAGATTGAAATTTTAAGTCGCAAAAAAGAAGACAGGAAACAAAAAGTGCTGAAAACAGTATCTCATTATCGAGTCCTCCACAAGGACTCAATGTAATTCACACCTTCCGGTCAAAGCTAATTTTTCCATTCCCACATGATTTTTAGCAGGAATTTTTGATATATTAGGGACTGTGTTAATCAGTGAAACTGTCAGAAATGCTCATTATACCCTATAATAGATGTCCCGCTGCTTATGGAGCGAAATTTTCATACTGGGAAATTCCTTATACCAAATGGTATAAGGAATTAATGAAGGAACACACAAGGACAGAAATCATCAGTAATTTTTAAACTAATCAAGAAGAATTAAATTTGCATGGTAGATAATATCAAATCTTCACAAATAACAGCAGCATTAAAAAGTTCATTCTTTTGACTCAAATAGAATTAAAAGAAAAATAGAGTGGACAACTGTTCTAATGAATGCAAAACATCCATTTTATATATTTACGCATGCATATTTGCATACTTTCGCATCTATTTTTCTACAGTTCATTGATAACAACTAATTAAGGGATGGTAGTAATTAAGGTAATGTAGTGGTTGAAAATAAAAGAATCGCGTCGCATTATTGATTTTGAACAGAAAAAAATATGGCTCTAAGCTGTGGATGGCATACCCCACACCTTTAACAATACCTAAAATGAAGACAGACATTCCGCTAAACTCCAAATTAGGTTGACCTTAAGGTACTTCGGTAATGACCCTCTCCATCGGAGAGAAAACGGTTATGATCCGTGGGAGAAACAAAGAAAAGGGACCAGCTCATCTGCAGTTTATAGGAAATTATGGTAAACAAAATTATCAAACTTCTGACTGTAGCTAATTTCATAAAGTTATAAGAAATCGGTTCTTCTAATAGACTGAATCAAAGCAAAATTTCAATTGCTGAAACTATGCTTAAAACTTCTTTGAATGAAATTGGTGATTGAATAGAAATTTATAAATTAAACGCTAATTTTTTTTTTTTTTTGAATTCATCCAATGTGAACACCCAAAAGCTTAAAAACAGGTAGACAAGAATCGCTAATTTATGATTAATAATGCAGATTAAGACTGAATAGCGGTTCTATGGTAAATGGAAGTGTTGTAAATGATGATCGTAAAAAGGTCGTAAACAGTGCAACTGCAGTCTTCCTTTGAATGTGGCAACCACTTGCTGATTTACATAAACATATCCTAATCCATGTAAACATAATCCTTTGCTCTGATCTTTTTAATGAGCATGGGTTATTGAGTGAAGAAATAAGAAGTCTAGGGAGATATTAGGAACATTTTGAATTATTTCCATACCATATCTCGAGGATGAGAAATTCTGTTGTATTGATTACAAAATGAGAAACGGTAAGTTGCCGGATTACATATTATG